AAAAAAAAAAAAAAAAAAAAACTGCAATTCGAAGGCCTCATATTAAAATAGCTCAAATATTATGGATCTTTTCTGTCCACCAAACTTTCTATGGCATTCACAGTTCCTTGACCTCCTAACACAAAGACTATTCAAAAAAGTTTAAGGCACCACTCAAAAGCCTCCCCTTCGTCCAACTTCTCCTGAGGCCTATATAGCTCTCGAACAGCCTCCCTTTAATTGAGACTCGATTCTTTTTTCTAGAGCCCTCGAACAAAGTCCACCCTCAGTTTGACACTTAGTCACTTTTAACTACACCTTCGAAGCTAGCAGCTTCTTTGTCCGACACTTGAAAATTCTATTGACATGACTAAGTGAAGGGCATGGCTCTGATACTATATTAGGAATCAGAAACCTCTATAACGGTACGATATAGTCCACTTTGAACATAAGCTCTCGTGTCTTTGCTTTTGGTTTCCCCAAAAAGTCTCGTACCAATAGAGATATATTCCATACTTATAAACTCATGATCAACCCCTTAATTAATCCATGTGGGACTCCCTCCCGACAATTCTCAACAAAGTTAACTCATTCACACATATGGGCAAGTGGAAGATGAATTTAGAACAGAGACTACATACAAAAACATAAAATTCATCTAAAAATTGATCACAAAAATTATAAGGAAGAACTACAGTCATGAAAGGGGGAAATTACCGGGAATATCTCAACCGGAGTAATCGGTCGCAAATTGAGGATATTGAGAAGTTCAGCTTTCGCGAGATCATACTTTTTAGACTTGTCAACAAACTCAATGATAGCTTCTCTCGTTTGATTACAAGCATGAGTTTGATTCAAATAATCATAAACCTACAAATAAAAGAAAAAGGATCCAATTAAAACCTGCAACAACAACGCGTAGGCCAGCACAAAAAGAAGGGAAGAAACTATATAACCTTGTACTCAGACGGTGCTACTTTCGCAAGAACCCTAGTGGGATCCTTCGCTGCCCCCTTCGATCTCAAAAAGTCGAGCACCTCGAAATTTGTAAGAGCGCCTGCATTGGCCTCTAGTCTGCAAACAATTCTTCCAACTAAATTGTTAGCAACTGTAAATTGACATCTCAGTTGAATAGAAATTGCAGAATCAAACAGTTCGAAACACAATTGCAGGAAGAATGAGGAATAATTACTTACATTTTCATGGAGAAGAAGCTTAAAGATTTGGCCGGAATCAAAAACCTCTCGACGACGGCGACAAAAACCCTTCGTCGATCCCAATTGGGGTCAATTACAGAACTCACATGATTGCTTACCTGGGCTTCTGAAATAACTATTGGGCTTTTACATGAAATTCCGGCCCATTTGGAGGTTTAAATTCCTATGCTCTACCTTGCTTGTACTAAAATAAATAATATTATCATTTTCTTTTGTTTCTACACAAAATTTAATTCTTATTGGCCTAATAATTTTTAAAAAATGACATTTAGATTAAATTGACCTATTAAAACAACCTATACTCATTATATATTTTAAATATAATTTTGTATTTTAAAATTTAATAGCGGAATATTGCTTTTCATTCCATTATAAAGAATGTTTCGTTCCCTCTCCAATCAATTTGGGATCCCTTTCAGGGCCAGTGTCTTGGTTGACACTTGTTCCATTCTCTAATCGAGATGGAATCTCACAATCCACTTCTTTCCGGGTCTAGCGTCCTCACTAGCACTCGTCTCCCTCTCCAATCAATATGGGGTCTCACAATCCACTCCCCTTCGTGACACAGCATTTTCATTAGCACACCACCAAGCGTCCACCATCTCCTTGCTGACACTCGTCTCCCCCCCCCCAATCAATGTGGGATCTCGCAATCCACCCCCTTCGAGGCACAACATCCTTGCTGGCAAACCACCCAATGTCCACCCCTTCCGGGCTTAGCGTCTTCATTGGCACACCCAGTATTGGCTCGGACACCATTTATAACAACTCAAACCCACCACTAGCAAAACACATAATTAAATACATAAAATTGGCTACAAAACACTATATTTAATTATTATCTATATATATTTATTTATATCAAACAGGGGGTGAGGTATTTTTCAGAGAAGAGATTCAACGGTCTGAAGATGAACAGGCAAGCAGAGATCCCCATCTTCAATGGCTCTCAAATCTCCGTCTTCCCCATTCAAATAAGCCTTCAAAAACGCAACCACCGCCCCACCAACAAACCTCCTCATGGGCTCTCTAGATTCCCCATTTTTACACAAGCAGTAGCTCGCCTTCCCTCTAAGCCCTCCAGTTTCATCGTCCAGCAAATCCAAATGCCCATAATCCTTCGCCACAAAATAGTGCGCCGGATTCCGACATTCCTCGAAAAACTCTTCGTGGTTGATACCCTTCGGAGCGCAGGGGGGAAACAGGGGATTCCTCTTCAATTCCCCCAGACCCGACCCGATTACCAGAACCGGAACCCCTAAATCGAAGGATTGGGGAATGTATTTGAGGACTGGAGGGTGGGTTTGCTTTCCGGAGCCCGTTCCGTCCACTGGATCGAGCCCGATTAAGGCTGATAATTTTGGGGATTTCTGCTCGGCTAGAGCTAGGGCTAGGGCGAAGGAGGTTTTTCCGCCGCGGCTGTGGCCGGAGAGAGCTATTTTGTTTAGATTTGGGTTCACGTGCGGGGGGAGGTGCTGCCGGAGACCCTCCGGCAGCCAGTTTATTACGGCGGCTGTTGCTTTGATTTCTTCGCTTGTATCTGGTCCAGCCACTGAGTATAGCTGCGAACAGAGCAAGTTTAAGATGAATTTCAATTTCATAATAAAAAATGTAAATTATTCATTTTTTTTTTATTAAAAAATTATATTTTCAAATTAATTAATTTTGTTTTGATTTTGGATTAAGATATTTTCCTACAAAATATCTTGTACCAATTATTAGACTATACCCACTTTGAAATAATATTAGAGTAATGGCCAATATTTTCTTCTTTTTTTAATTTTTTTTTACCTAATTTAATTTTTTATTATTATTATTATTTAAGTATAGAAAAATATTACTATGGTAATTTTAAATTTTAAAATATTTTAAATATATAACGAGTAATTTATATTAGAAAAGTAAAATATAAAATTTAATTTAAGAAAATAATTTAAAAAGAAAAATGGAAGAAGGGGGAGAGTGAGAACCTGAGGGGCGATGACGATGAAGCCGTGAGAGGCGATCTGATGGATGAGCTGAGAGTAGAAAGTGTTGTAAAGGAGATAGCCATGGATTAGCAGCAGCACCGGGAACTCTCCGGCGTCGGAAGGCCGGGCGATTAGTAGTGGCTTCGGCGGAGGAGGCGGAAGATGTCGGCCGGATGAACAACATCCAGCCGATTCGACCTTTTCAAGTACGGCGTTGAACTTTCCGATCTCGAATACAATTGGCGAAGTTGCAGAGGCGGCGGTGGCCGACGGCGGAGGAAAAGAAGCAGTAGCCATAGCCATGGCGACGGCGAGTGAGATTTGGAGCTTCGATTTCAATTTTAAAGCCCTTTTTGTGTTCGTTTTGTGTTAGTGACGGTTTGACGTGTAAGGCGATAAGCTCTTTTTATGTGGGTGTAATTCGGCCTTTTGCATCCATTTTCAATGCCATTTTAGATTTCCATAAATGCCCTTATCCTCTTTTCTCTTCATGAAGAAGAAAAGGGGTAAAATTGACCCAACAAATCTGAATTTATTATTTATTTTAAAATATAGTGCTTACCAACGATTACATGTATTTATTTTATTTTTATTTAATATCATAATTTTTTATATATATAATTTATCCTAATTCTAACTCATTTTTAAAACTATATATATTGAAATTGAGTTGTTGTGATGTCCCACGTTGGTTGGAAGGAGAACAAATCATTATTTATAAGGGTGTGAAAACCTTACTCTAGCATACGTGTTTTAAAGCCTTGAGGGAAAGTTCAAAAGGGAAAGCCCAAAGAGGACAATATCTGCTAGCGGTGGATCTGAGCTGTTACAAATGGTATCAGAGCCAGACACCGGACGATGTGTCAGCCTTCTCGCTCTTCTTCGAAGGGGGGTAGACATGAGGTGGTGTGTTAGTAAGGACATTGGGCCCCGAAGGGAGGTGGATTTGATGGCGATCCCACATCGATAAGAAGAAGGAAAGAGTGTCAGCAAGGACGCTAGGCCTATTATAAGGGTGTGGAAACCTTACCCTACCATACGCTTTTTAAAGCCTTTAGGGGAAACCCGAAAGGGAAAGCTCAAATAGGACAATATTTGCTAGCGGTGGATCTGGGCCGTTACAAATAGTATCAAAGCCAGCTACCGGACGATGTGCCAGCCTTCTCGTTGTTCCCAGAAGTGGGTAGACATGAGGTAGTGTGCCAGTAAGAACGCTGGCCCGAAAGGGGGTAGATTTAGGGGTAGTCCCATATCGATTGGAGGAAGAAAAGAGTGCCAGCGAGGATGCTGGGTCCTGAAGGGGGTGGATTGTGATGTCCCACATTGGTTGGGGAAGAGAACAAACCACCTTTTATAAGGGCGTGAAAACCTTCCCTGGCTTTTAAAGCCTTGAGGGACCCAAATAAGACAATATCTGCTAGCGGTGGATCTGGGCCGTTACAAGAGGTATCAGAGCCAGACACCAGACGATGTGTCAGCCTTCTCGCTCTTCCCCGAAGAGGGTAGACACGAGGCGGTGTGCCAATAAGGACGCTGGCCCCAAAGAGGGTGGATTGTGATGACCCACATTGGTTGTTGGGCCGTTACAAATGGTATCAGAGTCAGACACCAGACGATGTGCCAGCCTTCTCGCTCTTCCCCAAAGATGGTAGACACGAGGCGGTGTGCCAGTAAGGACGCTGGCCCCAAAGGAGGTGGACTGTGATGTCCCACATTAATTGTGGAGGAGAACAAACCACCATTTCTGTAGATGAGTTTGGTTCATTCTTTAATAACAGTTGTTTTGATTGAAAGTATTTACAACCCAACACGCTGAATACCTCTACCTTTGACACCTCTAATACGATGAACTATCTCTACCTTTGACACCTCTAATACGATGAACTATGATCGGGTCTAAAACTAAATTTTAAAAAGATATAAAATATGATTAAACATTAAACTTTTTATAGAATGGATAACTTATTTATTAATTATAATTTTTGTTGGTCAACACAAATTAAACATGAAAATAGGATAATTTTGAGGAAGGCCATAAGTGTATGTTACTAAAAAAAAGAGAGTGACAGTTAATCCAAATATAAATAGAGCAATTAATAAGGCAAATGCCTTGAAATTCCCAAAAATAATTCAGTGAATCAGATTCAGTTCTCTGCAGAGAACTGATTGATTCATTCATTTCCATTCCCATCGGAACAAAAAACAAAGATCGGAATGGGCCAATTCCGCACCAAAGGCGACATAGAAAATGACCAATTTTATCCCATCATGATGGACAGCCCTCAGCTCCGGTGGGCCTTCATCCGCAAGGTTTACACCATCATCTCCATGCAACTGCTTCTCACCACCGCCGTCGCCGCCGCCGTCGTCTTCATCCGTCCCATTCCCATCTTCTTCGTCAAAACCACCCCCGGCCTCATCGCCTACATCGGCATCCTCGTCTTCACCTTCATAGGTCACAATTTCCCGCCTCATAACTATTTAGTTTTTGAAAATAGTTCGCTTTAATTCTCTCTCTTTTTTTTTTGTCGGACCAGTTCTTTGCCCGTTGTACGCTTATCATAGGCACCATCCTTGGAATTTCATTTTGCTCACTCTCTTTACCATTGGGATCGCGTTTTCCATTGGGATTTCTTGCGCCTTCACCAAAGGTACACGAACATTAAATAAATTATTCGAATAACTCGAACCATCCTATTGGGATATTAAATTTTTTATTTAATAAAAATTCAGGGAAGATAATACTAGAGGCGGCGGCGATAACATGCGTAGTAGTATTGGGCCTCACTCTGTACACATTTTGGGCCGTAAAACGGGGCCACGATTTCAGTTTCCTCGGCCCATTTCTCTTCGCCGCTCTCCTCGTCATGTTCACATTCAGCCTCATAATGGTAATCGATCATACTGGGCCGATTTGTCTCGGCCCATTATTATTATTGGGCTTGAGCCTGGGCTGATTCCTCTGTTTCGTTGTTCTGTAAACAGATGCTTTTCCCGATGGGGAAGCTGTCGGTGAAGATCTACGGCGGAATTTCGGCGCTGATATTCTGTGGATACATAGTTTACGACACCGACAACCTCATAAAACGGTTCAGCTACGACGATTACATATGGGCGGCGGTGTCGCTGTATTTGGACATTATTAACCTCTTTATTAGTCTTCTCAGAGTTCTCGATGGCTAAGAACAGAGCAGAACAGAACAAGATCGTGTTTTGTTCTTTTTCTTTTTTTGTTTGGTTGAAGAGATTTAGAAATACCCTCCAGATTTGAAAATATGGGTTGTTTTTGTTGTAATCATAGCTGGTGAGGTGAGTGTGGGATGGGGTTTAGAACATGTTTTTTTTGTTTCAATGATGGGTTTGTAAAGTTGTTTTTTTTTTCTCTTTGAGTTCTTTGTTGATTATTGGTTGTTTGGTTGGTTTTAATGTAATCATGGAGGTTTATTATCTATCTATCTATCTAATTCTTCTTTTTTATAATAATCTCGTTTTGGCATGCAACGAGCACAGCAAGGGTTTCGATATGCAATGGGGATATGGCCATGACAAGCATGATCGTGACAATCAATTAGTATGCACAATGCTTTGATCCACAAATCTTTTCCTAACGGTTAACGAAGCTTAAGAAAGATGATCACTCCATAAACTATAAAAGCATTGTGCATGCTGGTTGACTAATTGACACGATCATGTTTGTCTAAGGCATGTTGACTATGGCCACATGCCCATTGCATGCCGAAACTCTTGCTCGTTGCATGTCAAAACTCATGCCTTGTATCTCATTTTATTGCTTTCATGATATATAGTTTTCTTGCCAAAACTCATGTATTGTATCTCACTTTATTGCCTCTGTTTTTTTTAAACATTCTTATTAAAGTGGGGTTTGGGTATATGTCGTTGGACCGGAGGTAACACGATTTTGAGTTGGCTGACTCGCTTGGTGGTAAGAGTGAGTGTCACACAATTGCTTATAAACGTCTTTGTAGAGTGCAATTTTGTATACATGAATTTTAAAAAATGACATAGTAGACATAGACCTGAATGTTAGAGGATATATTAGACACGTCACCATCCTTATCGGAGTCGGGTCATAATAATTTTAAGCCACCAGGGGAAAAATGTGTGGGTTGACCTAAGGTTGTAGGGATAAAGAGGTTAAATTTGTCAGATATTAAATGAAGGAATTGGACAAAGGAGAAAAAATATTTTAGACAAAAATTTAGAAGAGAATATTATTTTGTCCAAGCTTGGGCCAGATCCCTGTTTCCCAACCTGTTAACCCGGCTAGCGGTGAGCTTAAGCTTGGTATAAAAGCTAGTATGCCAGCGAAGTCGTTAACTTCAGCTAACTTCAAGGGGATGAACTGTAAGATGTAAGATCCCACGTCGATTGGAGAAGAAAACGAAACATTACTTATAAGGGTGTTGAAACTTCTCCCTACGCGTTCTAAAACCGTGAGACTAATGACAATACGTAACGAGCCACGAGCCAAAGCGGATAATATCTATTAACGATGGGCTTGAACTATTACACGTTATTTTCTAATTTCACATCTTTTTCAGTCCAGTGAAGGTTCAAACTTCTGATCTATTAACTTTCATCTCCTTCGGATCTTTTTGCTTTCATTACTTTTAACCGATCGTGTATATCTCAATTAGCTAAAAAAACATATCCTTAATCGAGAATCCCACCTTACATCGACTTCTAAAGATCGAGAAGTGATTAAGCAAATTCACAATTATTAAACTTGTTATAAATTATCCTTAAAATGATTAGCCAACAAACATGAAGACAATGATTACCCCAACATAAGCAAGAACATTAAACAATGATCTTCATTGTTTATTACTAAGTAGTGGGGTTTATACTATATTCAAAAAGAGCTAAAACTTGAGTGAACATGGACTCACTTTCATTCAAATTGGCCTTTACTTTACCATCCAAATTCAACCCAAAAGGGCCCTCTGTTTATATTGATATCATTAAAGAGACACCCATTTGGCTAACCTTTCCCCTTTTTTTACCTTTAATCTAGCTTCTTTTTACAAAAGGAACACAAAAAAAGAGGACACTCCCCCCCTCAAGCCACACCCTTCCCTCCTCCTCCTCTCTTCTCGGTCGCAATGGCGAGTAGCCGAGACACGCCTTGAGTCCAAACGTCGTATTCCCTTACGCTCTTGCATTCGAATTCGACGACGCCGCGGAGCACAGTCTTCAGGCCGAAGTAGCGACGGTGCTCTCCTCCCTCGAGGAGGTGTCGTCCGGGCCAAGCGGGGACGTCTTTGATCACCTCTAAAATGATATCTGGAAGAGTTGAAAACATTGTATGAACTTTCATCAATCCCCAAATGGAAGGAGACCCACATCCATTTCTGTTCAAATTATCAGAGAAAGACAAAAGAATTCTCTCTTACTCTTTTTCTTTTTTGTGAAGGTCCCAGCAACGTGCTTGCTCTTCATCTTCAACATAACCTGCACATAAAGAACTTCAATAAAGCTTAAAGAACATGATGAAAGGCTGCCCATGGTGGGGGCACTAAAGTTTGATCCGTTGCTTCTTCGACAATATCGTTCACATCCCGAAACAAAAAGCTGAATGATTAACAGATCGAATTCGGATTCGAAAACTAAATCGAATCGAGCTTTTTACCTGATTCATTCTGTTGATGTATACAGAAACTATCTTCCAATGAAGATCGCCTGCAAATGAACAATATAATGAGTAGATATCCAATCACCCATCTGATGAATTGAAATGTGTACTCACTCTCAGCTGACTCGACCTCGTTTTTACCTTTACGAGTGCGTTTTAGTAGCTCGCAGCCTCGAGCGAGAAACTCTCGGCTGCAAATGCCTAAGAAATTATCTTCAGGGACAAGTTCACCACTGAAGCTACTATTGGAATTGCCATTGCTACAATTCTCAGCAACTCTCATTCCTTTATCCACTGGAATCACAGCTGATACATTCCACATTTCCTTTAGCACCCTCGCCTTAAGCGTCGCCGCCCCACGTAACGCTGCCGGGATAAGCATTTTCATGTCAAGAAACTTACTAAACCAATTAATGTTTA